AAGGAGGCTTTTTTGGAGCTGAAGGGCAATGTGCAGACCCTAGTGCACAATGGAATGGAGGAGCACATCAGCAACTTCATCAGCTCCAGTGCGTTTGACAACGTCGTCAACCTCTACCGATTGCCAACTGCCATCATTGCCTTTACGGACTGCAGAAAGAACGTGAAGACTGTTTATCCCGAAGTGGATGTTACAAGGATAACCTTCGGAGAGCAAGAAGCTGGAGTGGAGGAAGATGGTGAAAGTATGTCAGCAGAGTTCCGCCCAGAAATCAAACTGAAGTGGGATCGTGATGCTGATGGACGCACCGTTTTCCCTCCGAACTTCGACTTCGAGTTCGTGGCAATGGAAGGAGAAGGGGCAGAGGTAGGGGAAGACGAGGTAGAGGCAGGAGTGGAAGGAGCTGGAGTGGATGAGAGCCAACCAATTCCAGAAGTGGAGATTCATCCAGTTCCTTCTGATGATGATCAGCCTCCTCTGCCAGACGAGCAGCAGCCAAGACAGCCACCTCTTCCAGCTGAAGAGAAGCTAGTGGAGCCACCTCGTTCAGTAGAGAATTAATTTTGTTTTTTCTTTTTTGGAGAACATTTAAACAGTTTGTAAGGTGTTTATTAAATTAAATGAAATTATGCACTTGTTTATGTTTAGTTTATATTTTTGTTATGTTTTATGAATGAAAGAACCAAGAGTACTTGAGACGAGTTAAGAAGAAGTAATTCACTTCAGACGAGTTAAGAAGAAGTAAGTCACTTGAGAGATTAACCAAAATAATTCACTTCAGATGAAAGAAGAAGTAAGCCACTTGAGAGATTAACCAAAGTAATTCACTTCAGATGAAAGAAGAAGTAAGCCACTCTTTATGAGTTAGGAATAAGTACATTAGTGCGAAGAAATTAGAAGGAAACAAAGCACTTCAAATGTGAAGTGACATTTATTAACAGAAGCGAATGAACTGATTGACTTCAGATACATAGAAAAAGAGGTAAAATGGTTCTCGATAAATACGAAGTAAGAAACGTAAAGAACAGTAAGACTTAAAACACTTGAAAGAATTTTTATTAGGGGTAAAATTTCTTCAAGTTATTGACATTCCAGACTCTAGGAACTCTCTTTCCTTCAGCGTCTTGGAGAATATAGGCACCAGGATGTGGTACCTCGGCCACGGTGTAAGGGCCTTCCCAATTTGGGGCAAGTTTGCCAAAACGAGTTTCAAACCCCGTTAAGCCAGCTTTCCTAAGAACAAGGTCTCCTACTTTGAATGTGCGAGGACGGACCCGTTTGTTGTAGAAGTTGGCTAGTTTCTGCTTGTATACAAGAGTTCGAAGCCGAGCTTCTTCTCTGACTTCAGCAAGCAGATCAAGGTTTT